ACTATGTATATCAATATAGGAAGGATCCGCATACTTTGAACATAAACTAAATTTGGAAATAAAGACTGCCATAATCACACATACTACTTCTATGGTCTACCAACCTTTAGAAGATGATTAAAGATGAATCTATAATCAATAGGTCTGCATTAATATCCAGGTTTTCTTCAAATTAATTTCAAATCTAAGAAGTAAAATGCTCAAAAGTGTAATGCAAAAGAGGCATCACACAAAGTAATTAAAGTAGAATGTATCATTTTCAATGTAATTACATCTAATAAATGTAATAAATAAATAAATAAACAAATACGTATTATGAGTACTTCAAAAGCATAGTCCTTGTACCTCAAATGGATTTATTCATACACATCAAAACTATGAATCACTCATGTAATGTTCAAGGAGAGGCGTTTAGGAAAAATTGAATGATCTATCTGAAATTCATTTGGATGAAGGAGGAAAGAAGAAATGGACTCATCAAGAAAACAAGACATTAAATTCAGTTGATAATAAACATGAATTTTAGAAAATAAGACATTAAGTTCAGCTCACAAAAGGGACAAAGACTGCATGTTATTCCACATATTTCATTCTTAATTAACTTAGAAACTAATTGAGTTAATAAGATACCAAGTTTTGTGACTCAGTCACAGAGGACTCGGCCTTCTCTGCTTCTTCCTCACCATAGTCGTCGCAACAAGAATCTGGTAGAACGACAGTGAATAGTGATCGATTACAGATCCTTAACTTCACCCCACTCAAGAACGGGGTTCAGAAGTGTGGCTGACGTAGACGAACACCAGGCAAACACAACAATCCAAGATTCAACATTGAAATCGAAGCAATTAATCTACCCGTCTGTGAACAGTAAAATCCACCCTAAACAAGTTCAATTTATGAATTGTTGGTCGAAAATCACCACTTGAATCTCAAAACCGAAGCAGATGCCACACACTCGAAGATCGACGAAGCCCATTCGTTTCACGCGTAAGCCAACACTGTTCTAGACCTCTGCGTTCTCTCGTCTTTTTTAGGCGTCTTCACAGGCGTTCAGAGATGCTGTCTTCTAGAGGATGTCGTGTCATTAGTTTCTAAGTAGCAGAAAGGGAGCAACGAGAACCGCTTATGAAGACTCTCTAGCAGGATAATTGGTCGTGGAGACGCGGTTCTGTGAATGAAGAGAGAAAGAGCTATATTAAAGTTGATTAAGAGACCAGAGAAAGAAAAGAAATTTTAGGTGTTAAAATATGACAAAACAATGTTAAAAGAAAATGAAATAGGGTGTGAACGTCACTATCTGATAGTTATACTATTGTGTCAGAAACTAATGACACATATACATCGTAAAAAGATATGTCGTGTTTTAGTGACACTATATTAAAAAGTGTCACTTTAAGCCTGTTTTCTGCTAGTGCTCAATCTAACATCCTCTCTGAATCCATCATGGTCGTACAAGAATAATAATAGGTATTGCAACCCCTGAAATGAAGGGTTTAACTCCGTCATGAACTGAAAAGCTCCGCTCTTTGTTTGAGCGAAAATAACTTGCTCTACTTTGTTCACATGGAAGTCTCCCTCAATACGTGTTGTCACTTCAGAAACAGTGGGAGTATTATACTATAGGTTCGTCCTTCTATCTTTCTCTTCCCTATTAGCCTCATTTTCAGTGTTGTGGAGTTAGATTCATTGAACCTGCTATCTCCTGCCATCCGAAAAGATTTGGCATGGACGTTTTGTGTATCGAGCATATATCTCAAATCGTGCACCAATGTATCATCCAATGTCGTGTCACTCTCTTTCACGTGAAGCAATACTAGTGTACTCAAATATTTGAGTGCAATTAATATTGCACTATACACAATTAATATTTGAGGACTCCAGATTGTATAAATTCGAGGACGATCTATAGTAAGTAAACAATTACAATTACATATGGTGTATACAATATCTAATACTCCCTCCGTCCCATTGGACTTTGTCAACTTCTCCTTTTTTGTTGTCCTAAAAAGCTGTGTCACTTTCCTATTAAAACAACTAATTTGTGGTCCTGCACATTTTTCTCTCCTCTGCACAAATCTCAACCACACGGTTTTTACTATTCTTATTTCTCACCTACTTGGCAAAGTCCATAGGGACGGAGGTAGTATCAAATATTGTTTTACAAAATTTTACTTGGGATATCTGGCTGAGGATTGAGATCACTTGTGCTCCCGTCCAACCCTTCATCAATTATTGGTCTGTTTTGGGTGAAGAACGAAGAATGTCAAGATGTAGTACATCTTAGCCAGATAAAACATGCATTTCTTTCCATCACGCATAAACTAATGGACTCTGGTCTTGAACTTGAAGCGTGGGGTAGGAAATGTAAATTGGATATCCAGGGTCGTATTGATACTTGTAAAACAAGACTGGTTTATTTTTTAAAATATATGAGTCATGTAAGCTACATTGGGTAAAGTCAATATAATTTGAGGATAATTTGTAAGTATATGATTCATCTATTCGTCACAATAAAATGCTCTTAAAAGTAGGGGTGAGCATTCGGTCGGTCGGTCAAATAACTGACCGATAACCGAATAACCGACCACAATTTTTTCCTCTCATAACCGACCGAAAACCGACCGACAACATTACAAAAACCGACCAAAAAATGTCATTCGGTTTCGGTCGGTAACTGAATAACCGACCATAACCGACCAAAGCATATATTTTTCAAAACTATAAAATCTATGGATAGCACATTAATAATTAAAATAATAAATGCCAAAATGGATTCAACATATTTAAATGTAAATAATTGTACAAAGCACAATTCGATTACAAAAATAAAAAAATCCCACGTTGAAACTATTTCACTGTTCCTCAAGACCACAATTGTCTTTTTCAATATGAAAACAAAATAAAAAAGGATATGTTAGCAAATAAATAAGCTAATATCTTGTAATTAAACATTGCACCCCAAACGAGCAAACCCATCTAAAAACTTCTGAATATTTTAAATCACACTAAGGAAAAAATTAAAAATCAAAACATCTTACATGTAGAGTAAGATAATAAAGGATGTAGCAAGTAGAAAACATTAAAATAAAAAACAAGTGTGTATTTCACAACGAGTAAACAAGGATTTCAATTGATTTTTAGTTACCAAGGTTGATTCTTCCAGAACTGATGAAGGTGTACGTGGAGGTTTGAAATTTTGAACAGGGTGTTCCATGAATTGATTACAAGCTAAATAGATGGGGAAGTGGATAATTGAAGAACGGGGTCAAGGGTTGAGGGCTCCATATCATTCCACTAATGGGTTTTGTAGGTTGACTTCAATGGGTGTGGGCTGGACTTCATATTTCATTACTATGGATTTATGGAGCATATTTACTTAAATATTTCGGACGGTTATTGATGACCGACCGATAACCGACAAACAAAACCGAATAACCGATTATTTTTAATTTATGATAACCGAAAATCGACCGAAAACCGATTTTTTCGGTCGGTTCGATAATCGGTTTTCGGTTAGGTCGGTTGAGTCGGTTATTTGCTCACCCCTACTTAAAAGACATACTTATTCCACCTCCATTTTTATAATAATTGCAACCTATTAAATTTTATTCACATGTTTCACGTTGATTACTTTTTATTTATTAACGCGAGAATGTAATGTTTGAAAGAAATTGCTAAATTGACTCATTCTAAAAATTTAAATTCTGAAAATTGTAAATAAATACAAAGAGTTTTAATAATAAAAAACTAAATACTCCGTATAATACTAGGTAAATTTGTGAGTGGTCAAATACAAAAATAGAAGGGTTGAAACTAAAAAAACGAGGGAATACTAGGGCTGGGACCGGTTCGGTTCTTTCTCAAAATGAGTGGAACCGTTATAAAAGTTTTAACTAATGAAATCGGTTCGGTTCCTATATAAAAAATCAAGAACCGTTATGGAACCGAACCGGTAGTAAACGGTTCAGTTCTTCTTTTTACCGGTTCCTAGAATAATTTTTTCTCACTAAGAATTAATACATAATTTACATTTTACAAACAACATAAACACGTCGAAAATTCAAAAAAAGAGTATTAAAATTTTATTTGAAACTCTAATCACTTCAAACATCAAAGCTCAAACCTAATTAATGAATTGTGAACACTTAATAGAACAAAAGATGATTTAAATTTTCATGTAATAAATAAAACATAAAAATCATAGTAGTGTGGGAGCGATGAATGTTACTCGTCATCATAGTAGTAAGAATAGGACGCCTACTTCAAGTCTTTCAAAACATAAAAAAAAAAATACATTGCGTTTACATTGTAGTGTGGGAGCGATGAAAGTTACTCGTCATCATAGTAGCAAGAATATGACGTCTACTTCAAGTCTTTCAAAACATAAAAAAATACATTGAGTTCGCATGTATAGATATAAAAAAAACATTGTTACATTCTATTGATTCATAATAAATCTAATAATTAGAAATATCATGAAAATAGTAAAGTAAAATATGTGCAATCAACTACAAGTTATTTGAGTTATTTTGTATTTATAAAATTTATGTGATGGAACAAAATTTGATTTGTAGAAAGGAGTTTAATGTATTATATGAACCTCATGTACAATATTTATTACTTCGTTTTCGTTGATTAAATTAGAATTGTTAGTTAAATATCTTATATTGTTTTATTATTATTGTTGTGGTGGTGGTTATTATTGCTATTATATTATTATTATTGTTACTACTACTACTAATATTATTCTATTTTTTAATTTTTTAATAACGGTTTCTTAACGGTTCCATGCATATTTTTTTTATAGGAACCAGGAACCGAACCGTTATAACTCGCTTCGGTTCGGTTCATACAAATAAGGTATTAATTGTTAACGGTTCGGTCCCTGGATGTTGTTAACGGTTCGGTTCCAATCGTTTTTACGGTTCCGGGTTCCAAAATCCCACCCATAGGGAATACTATGTTATTGTTTCATACATCCAAATGTAAGATCAACTAATGTTTTTCTTCTCTATATTTGAGACAAGAGATGTCATTTTCCCTTTCTCTTAATTTGCTGAACATTGAAAGGAGAGAGAACGGGTTGCTCAGCTCGACTGCAGATTTCCATTTTTATCCTCGCCCCATATTCCATGAGAGAGAGAGAGAATCTCAATCTCGTGCTGAAGGCCATGCGTCGTTGTTGATGGTTTGGACTCGTCATGGATGAATCTGAATCCGACATTATTTATTTTTAGGTTGGATGAAGTGAGATTAGCGTGCTGCAGCTTGGACGATTTGGGTTTCTGTTTTCTTTCGATATTCGTCCATATATCGATTTGGCCAGGTGCTTTGCTCTTGTTGCGGTTTATTCTGAAGGAGGCGATGATAAAAGGCGGGGATAGTGGCGGAGGAGGAGGGGAAGATGGCCAAGAATCAGTTCTGGGTGGACCTCCGCAGCCTCTCGAGTGGAAATTTTCGCAGGTGTTTGGTGAACGTACGGCTGGAGAGGAGGTCCAGGAAGGTATTATTTTTATTTACTTTTAGCTCTATACTGATGCTTCTGCTGCCTTCAGATCCATAGCCTGCTTGGTTTTAGTATGTTGATTGGAGCTTGCTGTTCTTGTTCTTATCTGGTCTCAGCTCGTTAATTCAAGAAAATGTCCAGTTGATTAGTTTTCAAGTTGCATTTAACTCTCTTTGTTAGGTTGACTTTTTGCATGTTTACTTTGATCGTTCTAAAGAAGACATCATCTAACTGTTCAGGACTGATGCTAATCAAGTCTAGAGTTAAGTAGTTAACATTATGTCTTTTTTCTTTCTCTATTTTTATGCTGTTGGTCTGATATTGATATTTCCGGGTGAAATAGTGTTTTGCGCTAGGTAATGATTGTTGGAGTTAGTCATAGATGCCCCTCTCTTATTTAAATGCAAACACTACATGCCAGTTGGTTGTTTTGCTTTTCTTTCACATTAAAGAGGGTGGTTTGATTCTCAATTCCTTCTATACCTTTGTAAAATGTAAGTTTTTTGTGATGTATATTGTGAGATAGTGTGGTGAATTTGGTTATGGCTCTCACGTTAACCTGAGTCTGGTTGGCAGCCATAACAGTTAAATGACATTGCATCTAGACATTATTTTAGATTCATAGATTTTGCTCTTTAAGAGTGTAGTTAGGGATTTGTTTGCTCATTAGTCCTGACATAGAGGAACAATTAATATACAACACCCAAATGTGCACATTCTTAAGGATTCATGTAATTAGCCTTTTGAGAGCGTTGGACATGTATGGTCACAACTTTTAAGCTGAAACTAAATCTCTTGATTATGTGAAACTTTTAGGATACAACGTTTAGCACACATTGTTGGGCCTAAACCTAGGATCTTTTTGACTGATTAGGTTTCATGACTTCATCTATTACTATAAACCTAAGCTGCGCCACATACTAAAAAGAAAATGGGTGGTCCTCTTTACTACCGTAATGTTCCAGTGGTCAGTACTTCAGGCTTTTCATTTAGTTTCCATTTCTTCAAGAAGCTCAAGTTGGTCTTACCAAACACTTAGCCTGCTGATATTATATTTTCCTTAAAAGTTAATACTCTACATCACTTGTACTTTTCTGAAGTGTTAGAGGCTAACTATATTACCAGACCATCATTAAGGTTTTCACACTCGTTATCTATCTAATGCCCTTATGTTTTGCAAAAAAAAATCTAATGCCCTTATGTACATAAGTATTAATCTTCTTCTCCCTCTCATCATTCTATATGCCCACCCCTAGTGCTGAAATTTATGGCACCCGTGGCACATCAACTTGTATAAAAATGAAGGCCTGTGCAAGTGTATTTATATTTATATCACTCACGTTCTCTCACCCCATCTTCAATGCATTTGTCTATAGTTCTCTCACCCCCTCACCCATTGGCTAGCCACAAAAAATCAACAGATGAATAAACAAGTCAATCCTTTGTTTTGTTGAAAGTTTAACCAGGCAACGGCCAAGGTGCTCTGCAGTGTATGCGCTGTTTCACACCTTCACTAGGAGTGTTTTAAGTACACTACAGATAAACCAGTGAGGAATGTTGAAGGCTTTGTTATCTCTCATTTAAGTAGAAGATATATATGAGCTTAATGTAGAAATCAATATAAGTTTCTAAATAAATGGAAATCAAAATTCATAAAGTGGGTTTTCACAAAAATGCGGGCAGGATCTGCAGTTTTATAGGTGGATTGTAATTGTGGTAAACATCTTGAAATCAATAATGATGCTCTTGCCTTTCAATTTCTAGCTATTCCATTTACCAGGAAGTCCAAATATGTTGCTCTTCATTGATTTGCAGTTGATATCATTTCTGCCATTGAGTTTGATAAAACGGGTGACCATCTTGCTACTGGTGACCGTGGGGGTAGAGTGGTATTATTTGAAAGGACAGACACAACGGAGGTAGGTTTAATATTCAGACATATTGTTTTACTTTGAAAGGGTCAAAAGTTCCATTTCAACTATTAGCAAAACATCAATTGAGTCCTCTAACTTTGAAAAGCTTCAAGTTTACTCTCCAATTCCAAAAGAAAATGCAAATAAATCTTTATTTACGTGCAGTAGCCTGTGAGCTTCAGGTCACCCCCACATTACCTCTCAATCCCGCTAATTCATCATCTTATTTTTCTTTTATCCTTCTTCTTTCTTTCTTCTCTTTTATTTTCCGTTCTCTTTCTTTTCCTTTTCTTATTCATTTTGTTGTGAGTTGGGGAGAAAGAAGAAGGAGAAGGCCAGAACGCTGGAGAGAATTGGGGGTGGCTGTACGGAGAGAGGGTGAAGCAATGAGAATCATTGAACGTTGGGGCGGAATGAGGATTTAAATGAGGTTTGTGCGAGATCCATGAAGAAGAGAAGAAGGGGGTGCAAGAGCTGAGACAAAGACACTGGAGATACCTTGAAAAAAAAATCAATGTCAGAAAATGGGGATTCGGAACCAGTTCAAGATTCAAAACCATATAAAAACATAGAAAATCAATTATAGTATTCTCGATATAAAGATTTGAAATGGTGAGGGAGTATTCTAATTTTCAGGTCTGAAAATGGCGCTAAGCCTAATTCGCTCCACTGTTCTGCTCTGAGACCCACCACTGGAGTGAGTTGAAGTGGTGGCTGCCGCTGGATGGTTTTCTCGTCGGAGTTGAAGTGGCAGTGGAAACTGATGTTTTTATACCATCATAATCATTATCTGGATTCAAGATATTACATATTATGACACAAGCAAATTAATCATTTTTAGAGATCATGGTTTTAGTGAAGCTTTAAAGTAGTAGGACCCAATTTTTATCTTGGTAATGGTTGGTGGGCTTATTTGAACCCTTTCTTTTTATTTTCAAACATGGAGTGGTTTGATGTACTCATGGGAGTCATTGCTTTATATCTATATATCTGTCAAATTTAAAAAATATACAGCTTGTTGGAAATCGAAGAGAGTTGGAGATGATGGACTATCATGTTAGTCGGCATCCAGAGTTCCGATACAAGACGGAATTTCAAAGCCATGAACCAGAGGTATGTAATTATCCGTTTTATCCAAGCCTCCCAATCTTTATGTTTGTTTTCACCTTATTCCCTTGGGACGTGTTTGGGAAATAATTGAGATTAGGGACCCAGAGTGGTCCCTGTGTTTGAACTTCTGTAGCAGACTAGTAGCTGCTCTTCCTAGATCCCCCACCTCAGCTGAAATTTGTGTGTTCTATTGCTCTGTCTATAGGTTGTCCTAATAAGTGTCCAGCAAGTAGTCTCAATGCTTTAAAGCCTCATCGAAATGGTCTCTGAGCTGTAGACTACTCATTATGTTCTCCCAAATAAACTTTTAATGAGTTTTCTTGGACTTATATGTGTAAATGCAATATGTGATAGACCGAGTTGTCTATCTATCCACTTGTAATGTGGGCATTACTGAAAAAGTGTCTATAAGTTTATAGTCCGTGAACTTCCTAAACATTAAAAAGAAAACTCTTAGAACTTGTGTTTTCTACTTTTGTGCTGCTTAAATATTCAAGTCTTCCCATTTCATGCAAATATACTTGTAAGGATGACAATTTCAAAGCTTTGGAATCTTTAGACACAAGACCTTCAAGTTTTATAAATCTGTAGATGCAAATACACTTGTAAGGATGACAATTTCAAAGCTTTTGAATCTTTAGTCAGCTATCTCACTTTGTAATGTCATTTTGTTGCTAGGGGAGTTGAATTGTAATGAATTTTATGTATTTTGTGCGCAGTTCGATTATCTAAAGAGTTTGGAAATTGAGGAGAAAATTAACAAGATTCGTTGGTGCCAAGCAGCTAATGGTGCCCTTTTTGTGCTGTCTACTAATGATAAAACTATAAAGTTTTGGAAGGTTTGTGACGATGTCTTATAGTTTGAAGCGTGTTGTTTTTAACTGTGCCTATTTTATCTGTAGAAATGAAGCCTCAACTGTGCCTCACTTTCTTGTGACTCTTTTTTCAGATTTACTTTGGATGCTTTTGAGTCATATTGTAACGTACATCCTCAATTTTCAGGTCCAAGAAAAGAAAGTGAAGAAAATATCAGTTATGAATACTGACTCTTCTAGAGCGGTTGGAAATGGTGATATTGGGAGTTCAAGTGTTTCATCGAATCTGGTCCAGTATAACGAAAATGGGAGCTTTCGGGAAAAATCATACAATAGTTTGAACAACAGTATCTCATTTCCTATTGAGAGCAGAGCTTCATTGCGCTTACCTGTGGTAGCTTTACTTAACCCTAATCATTTGCACTCTCGTGTACTTGGTAATATATCAATTATGTGTTGTAGATTTTGTTTTATTTTATTTTATTTTATTTTATTTTATTATTATTCATATGTAATCCTTGTAAGCTTTCAGTAACGTGTTGTACACACTAAGGATGTGTTTACTTGGACTGTAATTTGCTGGTCTGGTCTGGTTTCTTTGTATTTTTTATAACTATCCAAGTCTAGTCTGGTCTGTTCTGGTCTGATCTGTGACAGATTACAGTCCAAGTAAAAACATCCTAACACACCTTCTTAATGGTTTTCTCTTACCGAACTTTTTACTCCATATTTGACAAACAAGATATGTGTGTATGTGTGTCTTGATGTACAGAGATATGGGTGGGCATATTGGTTTGGTTTAACCAAACCGTACCAAACTGAAGTAAACCAAACCAAACCGAAGCCGAACCATATGCAATTTGGTTTGAATTTGGTAGTATTTCTTCCAAACCATATTAAACCAAACTGAACCAAAGCTGAGAAAAACCACATAAAAGTGAACCGAAGAAATTCAATAAAACCTTCATATGTTATTAAAAAATTACAAATCCAAATGAACCAAACTGAAAAATTGTACTCCATATGGTTTTTGTTTGGCAATAATTCTTCCAACCTGTTCCAAACCTAACCGAAACTGATAAAAACCGATATGCCCATCCCTAACAAAGATATGCTACTCAATGTCTAAGTAGAATGTACACAATAAGTTTATGAAGTGGCAATGAAGCAGGGCACTTTACTGATTCAAGCAAGGATGTATAGGTGCACCGAACCAACCAGAATATGAGAATAAAACATTTTTGTGATGTGTTGAGTTGCAGTGGGCAAGAAGTTTAAATAACTTGCTGCACTCTTGTGGCTGTCTAACATGTGCTCATTATTCTTGTGTGTAAACATTACTAGCATATATACAATTGTATGTGCTTGTATTAGTTCATTTTATAACTTTCTTTTTATTTCTTTTTTGGAGACAATTCAGTATTTACTTCAACCCCTTGGCCTTTTTATAACTTTTGTTGCTCGCACTACACTTTTTTCTTGCATAAATCCATTTGTTTATGTTTATACTTTATATAGGTTCTTTTCTGGCTTGACCTTGTTCTTGCTTCCAATTTTAGGAAATAAAAAAATCACGAAGTTTTTGCTTAAAACCTAGGTGCATTCTGCAGCCTTTGTGTATGTGTGAAAATACAACTAATAGTTGAATAGGTCCCGTTTTCTCTCTGCTTCAACTAGAGGATAAAATCATTTCGAGAGTGGGAGGATTTGAGTGGTTGAATCACATGAATGTGTTTTTCTTTCATCAATTCATTGTACATGTTTTGTGTAATTTTTGAAAATCCTGTCTCCTTTGTGTTCCCCAAATTTATTTGTATGGTTTACAGGTTTCCAGTGCAGAGACTAGCATTGTAGCAAGGTGTAGAAGAGTTTATGCCCATGCCCATGACTATCATATAAATTCCATATCAAATAACAGGTGATCATACAGTTTTATGTTGTTTAACTGTTTTTATTGTGTGAAATACAATTGCTAAGTAGGCAGTCTAATTCCTTTCACTTTTTGTAACTAGTGATGGTGAAACTTTTATATCAGCCGATGATCTGCGGATAAACCTTTGGAATTTGGAAATTAGCAATCAGAGTTTCAATATTGTTGATATGAAGCCCTCAAATATGGAAGACCTAACAGGTGGGTTTCAAAATTTAATTTGAATTTCCTATTTAATCCATGAAATTGGATCTGTATACTAGTTTTTTTGTCATTTTCCTTGTTTACATTTTAGAGGCACGATTCCTGTATAACTAACTGATAAGCTACTACTTATTGAAAGTAATCCTTTTCTTCTCAACTTCTTGTTTGTTGGTGTTGATTCGTTTCATGCTGTTTGTGATGATATTACTCCCTCCTTTCCACAAAGATATCCTTGTATGACTTGCACGTGGATAAGAAATCATTGTTAGTTTAGTTGAAATAAATAATTTATATACATTTATCGTTTTGCCCCTTCATCAAGTTAATTTATGAATTTCATCTATCTTGGAATACTGTAAATTAAAAGCTAAGCTGTTAACTAGAGGTAAAAACATGGGAATTGAAAAGTAAATGCAAACAAATTTTGGATAATAAAGAATCATTGCTGGTCGGACCAAAACGAAAAAGCCCTATTTTAGGGCAGAATGATTATGATGTTTGGCCCATTATATTCGACTGGCTGCCAAGCACTGCAAAGTTCTTGTGAAAATTAACCACATTACTTAAGTTCCAAAAGTCATTTCATCCCTAAAAGGCTAAACTTCTCAAACCGTGTTTCAAATCTAGATTATTTAAATTCATCACTTGATATCTTTCTTTCCTCACATTGTTTGCTTGCTTCAAACAAGCCTGAATTGCTTAAACTTGTTTTCTTGTTATAAGAGTGGCCTTATTGGCATAATGGTTAACTAGGCAATAAACGAAAAGTTCTGATAAGTGACAACTTCCAGTGATTTCATCAATTATTATTACACAATGTATACATTAACCACAGGTTGTTTGTTGTTGCAGAGGTCATAACTTCAGCAGAGTTTCACCCGACCCATTGTAACATGTTAGCTTATAGTAGTTCAAAAGGATCAATACGTCTCATAGATTTACGGCAGTCGGCACTGTGTGATTCACATGCTAAATTGTGAGTACCTGTTTCTTTGCTAGTTTCAACTATTCTTTGAACTCGTTTTCCAATTCAAAAAATGAAAAAAGAAGTTCATTACTACAATTTTTCTTCTTTAAAAGTGTATTAAATGAAATACATATACTATTTTGGTACAAAAGTTTTAAAGATTGTATGTTTTCCGTCTTATTTTACATGTCTTAATTTCCTTTTTGGGTTGTCCCAAAATTAGTGTCACATTTCCTTTTTGGGAAAGAAACATGTAGTCTACAACATTTGACTTTATTATACTCAAATCTCAACCACAGTTTTTACTTTTTCAACCACTTTATTAATAATTGTGCCAAACCAAAGTAGGACACATAATTTGAGACAGAGGTAGTATTAAACTTCCATGACCTTAATCCAATCTATGTTGGGGTCGGTGACATGAAAATTAGTTTCAGTTAATTATTTATAGTATTCAATAGTCTATATTCACACAAAAAATAGAGACAATGCTCTATTATGCATTCTCTTCACGTTGCAAAATTCTAAAGAAGGAATAATGAGATACTTCCTCCGTCCCATAAAATTTTTCCCATTTCCCCTTTTGGAAAGTTTTGTGTGGCTAACATTCATTTCCCTTTTTCTTTCTCAACCACAATCATACATTTCCACTTTATTCTCACGTTCTTAAACTTTGATCCAAGTTAGACCGGGAAGAATTTTATGGGATGGAGGGAGTATGTAATTTGTCATCATCATAGATTTTTGGACTCGTATAGAGAATATCACTGACAAAGATGAGTTGAGATAGATCACCTTTCTATAGCCATATCCCATTCAAAAGCGATGTTGTAAAGTCAACACGTAATTAATCATTATCAAACAATCTTAGAACTATATGAATCAGAAATCATAATTAAAGCTCATTGGATTTTGAGAAGACAGTAAAGAAAATCTAGATGAGAACAATGATAAAGAAGACGAAGGGAAGGAAAATGAAGTGTGGCGTTACAGTAGACATTGCTCTCCCCATATTAAAATCTCAAAACTCTTCTGGTTTTCCTAAATCTCAAAATGGAGAATAAGCAAATGCTTTCTAAAATGCAGACGCAGGAGGTGAAATAGAAAAGTAATTTCCATATTTCCAAATTACCAAATCAGAAGTGATAATGCTACATGACCTCTGTACTTCTTCAGAAAATATTTTTAAAAATATCTGGTTAGTAAACACAGAGATTCTCAATGTGTTAGCAGTTAGCGCTTCCATCAACCTTTTTTATTTTTATGCTTAGGCTTGCTTATTGATTGAATGGGTTCATTCATACATACATAAGCCCCTTCTTTATGCTCTTATAGGTTTGAGGAACACGAAGCACCTGGTTCACGATCCTTCTTTACCGAGATCATTGCTTCAATCTCTGATATTAAATTTGCAAGGGATGGAAGATATATCCTTAGTCGTGACTATATGAGCCTTAAGGTTGTTTGTTTATTTATTCATTTATTTATTTGCACTTTTTGAGAGTTATTTGCCCCTAGTATTGGCTGATATACAACACTTGTGTGCTTACGATTTTCATAGTTTGTTGAAATTTGTTCGATTTGACTAACGGCTTAAACATCACTTATCAGCTGTGGGATGTAAATATGAATTCCGGTCCAGTTGCTACATTCCAGGTTCATGAACATCTAAGACCAAAGGTGAATTATTTTCCACTTTCTCAAACTTTTTGTTTAATCCCCAGTAACTAAGTTGATTAAAGGGTATATAATTTGATGATATATAGCTTTGTGATTTGTACGAGAATGATTCCATATTTGATAAATTTGAGTGCTGCTTGAGTGGTGATGGCCTGCGAGTAGCTACTGGATCCTATAGGTATCCACATTACATGCAAACGTATTTAGTGTTCATACTTTTATTTTATTTTTATGTTCCTTTTAATATTTATATAAGTATTTTTGTTACTGCAGCAACCTTTTCCGTGTTTTTGGATGTGCTGAGGGAAGTGTTGAAGCGACAACATTGGAAGCAAGTAAAAATCCCATGAGGTATTTGTGTTGTAGGAAACCTTTTGGGATGAATGTTATGCTTTGATTTATTTTCTCAGATAGTCTTTGTTTAGTATAGTAGAAATATGAAAGAAGAAATGGGGATAGAGGGAAACAAATCATATTGAAATCATAGGAAATTATAGTTGTAATACTACCTCCGTCCCGTTGGAATGTTCCCACTTTCCTTTTTTGGATGTCCCAATGGAAAGTTCTCATTTCCCTAAATGGAAAGTTACTCTACATCAAAACAGTGTCAAACAGTGCAAAACAGTGTCAAACAGTGTCCAAACAGTGTCCAAACAGTAAAATTTACCCCCTGGTAAGTTTATTTCCTTAATATGTGTGTAGGTCAAACCGGGAACATTCCAGCGGGACGGAGGGAGTATATTAGAGATAGAATATAAATGATTATGATTATGATTTGTTTTCTTCTATAATGAGGGGAGAAATAGAATATAAATGAGTGATCTTTCTTGTTTTTTACTAAATAAATTGGGAAGACTTAAAAAGCGGTAGGATCCACAACTTTTCTCGCCTAATGTGAGACGAAATGCAAGAGAAGTTATTCACTAATTCGCCTCCTGCTTCTTTACTATTATTTCTTTGCTCAACCAAATATAAAATTAATGACAATTATTTACTATGCTCATTCAGGAGGCAAGGGCAGACCCCTTCAAGACCTGCTAGATCCACGAGCAGTGGCATTACTCGTGTTGTCAGGCGAGGTCTGCATTCAGCCTGTTTGATCTCTGTGCCTAGTATAGGATGCTTGGGTGTGCTTTTAATAAAAGGAAAAAGTGCTCTTGACATTCAAGCTGATCTTTTTACCAAATGCAGTTCTACTAAAAATCAGTATTTCTTTTGGTGCCATAAGACAATTTTTGTTTGCTGGATTTTTAAAAAGAAGTATATATCTGAAAATATTAAGTGTTTCTTTTAAGTACTCTTTGAAGTGCTCTTAAAATGCCTTTTTGGGTTGACTTATGTAAGTGCTTTTATAAGAAGTATTGTTTCATTTAAGCACTACAAGTTCTTCTGCAAGAATTAAAAGCATTTTTTCATTTGCTTTACTGGTGCTTCTTTTAACAGTAAAAGCGTTTTCCCTAAAAAAAGCACTTATTCTTTGAAATTAGTCATCAACTTTTTAAAGGGACTTTTAAGTGTATTTGAATGTTTTAAAAGCACTTCTAAAAATGTGACCCTGCATCATTTTTACATGTGTATCACTATTGATCCATTAGAGTCTCTTTTAAGACTATCGATCAACGGATCAAGAAGCACATCCTAACAAGATCATGAATTTTACTGAGACTGAAAACAAGTGATGATTTGATTAGCAGGACCAGAAAGTCCCGGTGGAGATGGAAACGGGAACTCATTGGATTTCACAACAAAACTGCTCCATCTAGCTTGGCATCCTTCCGAAAATTCAATTGCTTGTGCTGCTGCAAACAGCTTGTATATGTATTATGCTTGAGGTGAAGAATGCATTTCTTGCTTTCATCATTTATTTTCCTGGTTTCTTTTTTGGAAGGTCAAGCCACGGATGCTCCACTCGGCCCTTTGTATTGTTTCTCACATTCAAAAGTGCCTCATTGATGCCAAGCTTTTGAATTCTAGTTTTTAAAGTCAATATCCAGAAGTGCCTATAGAAATCAACTACAAGAAAACCTGATGGACGTGTCAAAGTTGTGAAGAAGCTGCAGCTAAAAACTTGCAGGGAAGTAAGCTTGTGTATTTTATTTTATTTTTTCTCTGGGGCCTGGGGTAGAGTTATGATCATCATTATTTTTTGTAGATTAATGTTAGTGTGTTTTTACATTAGATTTTCGGCCAAATTAATTGTTTCCCACAAATTTACTGTAAAAGAAAAGTTTAACTGCTTTGGCCTTCAGTGACTCATTCTTTTTGCATGCTCTAGTAGATTTGTAGAGGCCATAACTGCTAAAATGCCTTGCTCCATAGAGAACCCAGGCAGGGTTATCCACTTATCCTTGCTGCCTCTGGGTTTCTGTGTGCAGTGAATCATATTATGCTCATCAGTCATCACTTTGATAGTTGTTAAGCCCATTAAAAGCTTTTATGGGTTATAGTTGATAGATCAGAAGATAGCCGTTCTCAATATTTAAGGCCTCTTGGCATTGTTGTGAATTGGGAGTAGATAGTATTAAGTGGTGTTCTGATTTATAGGGAAAAAACTTTGGAAATTTATGACGAGTGTTGACGCTTCACGATATAGAACTTTTTAGTAGGCCTGGGACCGGTTCGGTTCCTAGGCAAAATATGTGGAACCGTTTGAAAATATGAAATTTTACTAACGGTTCGGTTCTTATAAATTATTTTATAGAACCGATAAGGAACCGAACCGTTCTTAACGGTTCGGTTCTTGTCATTTAACGGTTCCTAGTCTTTGAAAAAAATCTTACAAATCACGACTAAATTTTTGTCAAAAAGACATTCAACGTTTGAAATTACAAAACAAATATGTTGAACCAGTTAAAGAGAATAATAGTTTTAAATAGTTTGGACCTTCCGAGTTCCGACCCGCTCGAGTTTGGACCTAATGAGAGGCCTAAGAAGCCTAAGAGAACCGGTTGAAGTGAATAATAGTTTTAAATAGTTGAATAACTAAACTAAAATAATGAATGGAATATAAAAGTAAATAAGTAAATATACATAAAATATATATACTCGTAAGAAATATATATAATTTTAATTATTATATATAACGGTTCCTTAATGGTTCCTAGTACATATTTTTTTCAAGAACCGAGAACCGAACCGTTAATAAAAAAATAGGAACCGAACCGTTAACAAATAACTAATAAATGTTGGAACCGAACCGAACCGGGTCATAACGGTTCGGTCCGGTTCGGTTCTCCGGTTCTTGGTTCCAAAGTCCCAGCCCTACTTTTTAGTAGAGGGGTTTGTAAATTATTTTTAAAGAAATTATTCCAAATAAGAATAAAATGTTTGTGAATTTCAAAACAAGATTACTATGTTTATATTTCTTAAATAGAAATAAATTAGATAATTACTGGAATGTTTGGCATTATCAGGTTTGAAACTTTTTAGTATTTTCTAAATTCGATAGCAATTGTTTTTATTTAGAGAATAAAAATAAAGTACTAATCCCTCCGTCCCCTTTTAAATGTTCCATTTTACCATGTTGGGATGTCCCTATTTAATTGTCTTTTACTAGTCTTGGACATGCCGGGTGGCCCGATCCGGAACAGGCCCGAGACCGGTACTGTGTTGAACGGCCTGGCCCGGTGGCCCGGCCAGTGACCGATTCGGGTAGGCCTGGCCCGGGGGGTTCCCGGTGCGGGCTCGGGGCACCCAAAAGCTGAACCGGCCCGGCTGGTTCGGGCCCGATTCAGGTTTTTTTTTGTTTTTTTTTTCAATTTTTTTTATCTTTTCGGGTTGGGCTAGGTATTTTGGGCCATTTGGGGTGGTTTGGGGGGGTTGGGGGTGGGGGGTTAATTAGGAAAAAGAAAAAAACATTTACCCGAGGCCCGGCTTGGACCCGGACCGGACTGGACCCGGTGGCTACCCGGGCCTCCTTCAAAGGACCCGAGGCCCGATCGGGCCTAGGCCTGACCCGGGTTCATGACTATCTCATACCTTTTTTGGTAAAGTTTGTGTGACTCAAAATCATTCTTACTTTATTCTTACTTTATCAATTAATATTAACCACATAAACGTACTTTTCTTAAAACTCGTGTCACCCTCTTCTAGGACATTTAAAAGGGACGGAGGGAGTATTAGTTTTCTTAAAACTCGTGTCACCCTCTTCTATCAATTAATTCACTTTCAATTTTTTTTTTAAAAGTTTGAAAATTACATAAAAAAAACAAGCGGTGGCTTCAGCTGCGACTCTAAGATGATTAAGGTTTGTTGCTTTCAAACATTTTTAGGGTTGGTTTGCAATCACTTTTAAAAAAGCACTTCTCAACTTATTTTACCAAACACTACAACTTTTATTTTTCTCAGCTTCCGCCTTTCGCGTCAAAAGTGCTTTTACTTTTTCTATTACACAAAAAGCACTTATTTTACCAAACACTACCCACTTTTACTTTTCAAAATCACTTTTTTCTCAAACACAATCAATTTTTATTTAATCACTTTTCCTCATTTCATTAAAAAAAGCACTTTTTTAAAAGCAGAAGTTGTTGCAAACATACCTTTAATGTTCCAAAAAACTTTGGAAAAGTAGATTTTTTAACCAGTTGGCCACAATAATACCAAATTGCCCTTTTAACGTCTGGCAACATTAGATGATTATTACTACGTACTCCCTATTAGATACGGAGTACATAAAAAAGCAAAAAATCGTATGAAAAACTTTTTGAAATATGTTGACATATTTAGGCTTTTTGGCTTTAAAGTTGAAGTGATTGAGAAGTCGTTATGAGAAAAGCATTTGTAAATTGTAACACGGAGTAATGGGAGTATGTACTTTAGAGAACTCAGAACTTTACTATGATGAAAAATGTATAGGGCTCCTGCAAGTACCGGGGACAGAGCCCCACTCTATATCTGTCAGATTGTGATTATAGTCCAATTTACATCCTCCCATCGTGTCGTCCGGTCGGTGTTGGGGGGCCCTCAGGGATGGGGTGTCATCCTTTTTTTTAGAGAACTCAGAACTATGTTGGGAAGTGTCTTCAAAAGCCCTGTCCAATTCTGATTTCCGAGTAGAATAATTCTTTTTTAACAAGTCCAAATTTTGTTGGGAAGTTAATCCTTTTTTAACAAGTCCAAATTTTGTTGGGAAGTCAAAAAAATTCCCTATTAAAACTGTGCATTATATATATATATAAACTGCACAGTTTTGGTAGGGATTTTTTTTGACTGACTTCCCGATTGATTTTTTAGCTGAAATTTGGTATGAATAAACTAGACTTGATGAGGAACATGCTCAAAAAAATTCATCAAAAAATTCCACCAGGAAAGTCCCTTAATGGCCTCGTCCTGACGGCGATTTCCGTCAGGCCGGCCTGACAGGATCAGTTCTCCCTTTCTTTGATAAAATATCACAAAGGAATTTACTCTAGGAGTGTTTTAATTGGACTCAATTTTTTGGTGTGATCTGATTGATGTTTTATCTATATGTATTTTACAAATTTCGAAATACGATTTGATCTAGTTTGATTTGATTTGTTTAAATCTGATGTGGCATATTGTGGACTAATATTAGATCGAGATAAGTCCAACTAAAAACATCAACCACAAAAATGAGATAAAGATGTTTTTACTTGAACAGTAATCTGTCCCATACCAGATCAGACCAGACTTGAATATTTATAAAAACACAAAGAGATCAGATATTGCCAGATAAGACCAGACCAGTTAAGACCAGACTAGATGATCAAATTACCGTTCATGTAAAAACATCCTAAATGGCACATTCTAGCATGTTCTCTCATTCAGTTTTTGTTTGCCTTTCCGCCGCCTTTAGCTTCCGCGTTTGGCTTGGAGCAACTGTTTTTTCTTGTTTGCCTTTGTTATATTACCATGCATTCTCTTTTGTTACGATCCAGGCTTCAGAATTTGTTTGCTCTTATTTACTATTGGTATTGGTATTTGTCTTGTAGATACATAATATATATATATATATATATATATATATATATATATATGTATGTATGTATATATAGAGTAATCTTCCGGTCAGGTATACCTGACCGGAGCCGCCGTCCGGCCTCCTCCTTTTGGGGGCCTTCCCAGTGGTATTTTTTGCTCAAATTTTTTGTGTATGTTCCTCATCAAGTCTAGTTCATCCATACCAAATTTCAGCAAAAATTTCAATCGGGAAGGTCGTCAAATGATTTTTGCAAGTTAACTGGTCCGGAATACACATGTTAAAAGTGCATTTCATTTTGAGAAAAAGTGCTAATATAAATGTTTATAAAGTCTAATATACTAGTGCACTTTTGTATATATTTAAATGTACTTCATAAAGTACACCCTTGTTTTTTACAATATGATCATTTATTTTTATTTTCTAAAATCCTTTTAATAAAAAAAAATGTATGGAAATGCATAGCGGAATGCGAAAAGTGCAGTAAATTTTATAGTAAGTGCAAACTAATATTATAAATGTGCAGTTTGCGAAAGTGCATATTCATATGGTGTTTCATTAATTATACTAAAAGTGCAAAAAGTGAAAACTGTATTTCTTTTTTAAATTTGTTTCATTAATGAATGGTGTTGGTTATTTAGATTACTTTAAGTGCAAAATTTTTTTTAATTATATTTAGGTTGCATAAAATTTAGAATAAAAGTGAAACTATTCAAAGTTGGAGTGCAAATATGATCAAAAAAAAGTTGGAGTGCAAATGGACAAACCTAGATTGATTTCGTTCCTGAAATTTTGCATCTAAAAATGAATGGTAAAAAATATTGCTCAATTATTTTTGTTTCAAAATGATTTATCGGAAATCCCAAATAGTATGAATAGAATAACAAATTTGGAAAGAGAAATAAATAAGAAGAAGTCTTTATAAAAACAAATCTTTTTAATTATGTGTGTGGGAGTTACTCCCGTATTTTTTACTTACTATTTGATTAATGGTCATCCTAAAAGTTAGGATTACTTCCTATTTGATCTCACGGTACATGATAACTCCTGATTTGGTTTTACTATTATGTCCTTTAATTAATATCAAGTTGAGTGTTGCCTTATTTATAACTTACTCATTCAGAGAATGAAAGGTGAGATTTCATTCTCATTTCTCTCCTAAGACATCATTCTCACCAGAACCGTCCCCTATATATATATGAGTAATTAATATGTTCACTTTATTCTACGTAGTACTATCGTATACTCCCTCCGTCCCTAATAACTTTGCCAAGTTTGACTGGCACGGGGATTAATAAAGTAAAAACTGTGTGGTTGAGGTTTGTGCAGAGGAGAG